CTCAGCAAGTTACTCAGTTTCAAATTAGATTAAAAATTGACTTCATAAGTTAAAGATGTTGCAGAATTGTGGTCCCCTTTGCCATGGCGGCTGTGCTCCTTGCCTGGAATAAACAGATTGGTTCTTGTTCCTAAATCATCTGTTTGCCTGTGACTAATCTTGAATTCGTATCTTCCTGCTTTGTACTGAATTTTGTGCTCCAAATGAGAACAGCACATAGGCCTTTAAATTTCCTCAGCCTTCAGTAGCCTGAGGACTCATCCTGTCCTTAGGATAGCAGATACTTTTTGTAGCTGGTGCCTCTTTTTTAACCCCCAAGCATGTAACTTCAGAACGGAACCATGTAAGAGCAGTGCTATAGCATTTCCATTTTAAGGAGTCCTACTGGGGACTTTATTTCGTTGGAACATGCATTTAATAGAATCTGATACTCTATTTTTAACTTATAAAGAAACATTATTAAAAAAAAATAAGGAAAAAGATGTTTTACTGTGATATTGTTGTTCTGTAACTCCCCCCACTCCAAGAATATTAAGACCTTCAATGTCATAATTCTTCCTGCTTCCTATGTATCATTTCTCACTATCTGTTTCCACTGAGTCCAGCTCCTCAGGAATGTACAATGTTTGAGCATCTTAATTATCTTACTAAGACTTGGTAGGATATATTAATCTGGGGACTTTCTATTTGGTATTGTCAGCTGATCTGTCCATATTATCAAAAAAAAAAAAAAACCCCAAAAAAAAGAGGTTAAGTGCACTGGAAGGCTACGACGCAGATGGGAATTCCGGAGGAGCGCGGAGGGGAAGGCGTGTGCGGAGAAGCGAGGCACAGTTTGGTCCATGCTGGTTGGTGTGCTGAACTTTAGCAGCTAGTGCACTTGTGATGACACCTCAGCACTTCAGGAAAGTAAGCAGTTATATTTGGAAGCACTTCATTCTGCATTTTTCAGGACTAAAACTACTAGATCTACAAAAAAAAAAAAAAAAAAAGTGAAAATGCTAGTTTCCAAAAAAGGCTTTCCCTGTTAGCATGCTGACCCTGGAAGCTGCTTGAGGCTCTCTCACCTTTGCCTAGCATGGGGAGCTCGAAGGGCTTTCCCCTTCTGTAAGCAAACAGGTGTAATTCTTTCATGCTCAGCTTGGGGGAAGAGATGAGAGATTCTTGTCATCTCATCTTTGAGGTGGGTACATCTTTCTGGGCAGCACTACAGCATGCTGAGAGCAAAGATTGCCATGATTCTGCCTGAAAGCAGCACACGCAGCTGATCTGGGAGCTGGTTTGTACTGGCACATTTGTAAGGTGGGAGCACGGAATTCATAGCGTGGTTTTGAGATTCCCTCATTTGCGACAAAGCTTTTTTTTTTTTTTTCTTCCTCAAATCTGCCTGATAGTTTTCTAGTTTTCCTGTGCAGCTGCATGTGGGTGTGATTGGAAACTGGACCCCGAAATCAAGATTTGAGCAGCCTTGGCTTTCAGTTAGTGAAGCAGGTAAATAGGCTTGGGCTGTTCATGCAGTAACTGACTGGCTCCCCTCTCTTTGCAGTCCTGTTCCCCAGCAGCCTAGAGCTGGAGGCAAAGGCAGAGTAATTCCAGTGCTGCTCTTAGGAATGTGATCTTTCACTTCAAGTGGCCGCGCGGAAGGTCATATACTCACAGCCGTTTTTATCAGCATGCAGAATAGCTGTCTCCAGGCTTTCAGTCTCCTTGGTAATGTGTTCTTTTACTCAGGTGATTTTCTCCTATTAGTTCAGCCTAAAGGGAGACTGGAAAAGATAGAGCTGAACGTGAGCTAAAGGGACACCATAGCCTTAAAACATCCCACGAGTCTTTCTGTTAGGAACAAGTGAAGGAAAAATGCCCTCCTCTAAAATTAGGTCTCTCTCGAAAATCCGGATTTATCAAACTGCACAAAGTTAGGTCAAACCTGGCAAAGGATGCCTTTAGAAAAGGAGGTGATAACTTTAAGCGCTGTATCATTACTTGCCTTGTTTGAAACCACTGACAGAATAACCGTGTAGCTCAAACAAAGAATTAAAATATTTTTGTTGTTCTACCTCCAAATTAAATGAGGTATGAGTACCATACTAGGTGGTGTAGTTAATTTAGCTGAGAAATATTTCTGAAAAATCAAGAGACAGGCAAAAGCAAAGGCCAGTCCGAGCAACAAAAGAAAACTGGCAAATAAATCTATCCTTAGATAGATGTTTCTAGTTTTCTTTTTTCCGTGGTAAGCCTAACCAAACATAAAACGACGTGTCTGAGGGGAAAGTGTGACTTCATTTGAAGGTGCTGGAACTAGATTAAACTGGTAGTCTTCCAGATGCCTCTTAAGCAATTTTGGAAAGAGGCAAAATACTTCTCCCTCCTTAGACAAATAGATTTGACCTTTCCTCTTATGAGAGATCAGGCAGTATATTCTTCTGAAGCCTTCGCTTCTTCATATCCTAGCATGAAACTTAGGGTAGTGTTTGAGGAAGGACTGGAAGGAGAAGATGGGTAGGTTCTGCCTTTTATTTGTAAAGCTTAGGAAGCCAAATAGAAATTATCTGGAAAAAAAGCTCTTCTAATAGCTTACTGTTTTCAGTTCATGAGTTAAGGGTTAGGGCAGATTAGAGACTTGCCTAGATAGATGCTTCAAGAGTACCTTTCTAAGGAAAGCTGCAGCAGAAAATGGTATACAAGAATATTTAATAGAATTCACTTACTTTCAAGCAATTATTTTTTTTTCAAGGCAAAGCTAAACATTATGCTCCTTTTTTGAGTATATTGCATCAAAGTAATGTAAGAAATCTGTAGAGATTCTGAAAAGGTACGGAATTATTCTCTGTACAAAATCACTTTTTGACTGGAAAATATTGAAACTTATTGGGTACAGTATTATCTTCCTAAACGTGACATTTAATATATGTAGAAGAGGCAGCAAGAAACATTCAGTAGGCTTTTCCTCTGCACAGGGGAGGGAGACCTGTCCGGATAATCTCGTCACGCTGGAGCTGCTGTAATAACACATCTCGGTGTGGCTCTGAACAAGCAGCGAGTCCCTCCAGGAGATAAAGGGGTGAGCAATAACTCAGATACCGTTGCCTGACAAATGAGGACCGTACCTCACTTATCCTAAAATAAGCAATGCTGCAATTCCACCCCAGGAAAACAAAATACATCCAAGGGATGTGTAACTGGAAGTGACTTTTCCTATAAAAACACAGTTCATGGTTTTGCACAGTTGTTTTTAATCTAGTGTAAACTTGAACTGTTGCAGAGAGGGGACCCTCTTATCACTGTCTTTGTGCCCCTACCCTCGCTCGTGTAGGTGCCCGATGAGCCAGGTAGGGAACTGATCCCTGACTCGTCTTGTCCCACTGTGCAAATGCGAGGGGAGAAGAGTGGGAGCGACCTTGCAGTGTAAGTGTGGATTTACAGTGAATTAACGTGCCAGGTAAATCATAGACCAGAAAGCCTGCATGGCTTTGAAGCTGGCATGAAGGTTCCAGTCTAGTCATCTGCACAATAATCTGTCTTATGGTAACTTTGGATAAAGGAGTTGTGAAATTTTTAGTTGCTTTGCCCTGTTTTTATGGTTAATTTACGCATACTTTTCACACCCATGCATGCACGTATTTTGCTGTTGTTGCTTCCTCCCTCTCCGTCTTTAAAACTTACTTAGCTGCTACCTTGTTAGTGAGCATCAGGTTGTGATAGGTCTCCACTCGGTAGATATTTTTCATCCAAGACAACCCCTGTGTGGCTGTTCCTTTTTGCTGGAATATGCAGGACCCACCAATCTTCGCCAAGTATCAAACTCCTCTTTGGGAGACGGATAGGATTCCTGTTCCTTTCCATCACTCCACAAGCAGAAACTGTGGATGTCTTGGCTATGGATGTCCAAAGGATAGCTTGCTTCAGAAATCACTCTGCTTAGCAGTTGTCAAGAGGAGGGAAGATCTTCAGTCTCCTGTTTCCTCGTGATGGTGCAGAGCAACTGAAGCACAAGCCTCCAAACTGGAGCTTGTTCTTTAGATACAGTGACTTGATAGGCAGAAATGTGGCTTCTGTGGGGGTGTTTTTCCTCTGTGCGTAAGTCTTCCTGAAAAGCAAAGGCCTGACAGCCCTTGAAAGATGCATACTAGTTATTTAAACTTCTGCATTTCAGCATATGTGGCTGAGAAGTAAATCTCTTGCAGATTTTCCAAAGGTGCAGTAGGTTCTGTCCTCCTGTTGCCTGCCCTTGCAGCAGAATGCTGCAGGTGTCCAATGTGATAGGTAAGGGGGTGTTGTCGTTATTGGGAAAGTAACTTAAAGGCGAGACCAGGGTGAGGAGGGCTTATTCCCTTTTGTGAGTAGCTGAGCTAGCTGTTTTGGTTCCTTTCCCCAGTGACCACATGAATAAATCCGAACAATACGAGGTTGAGTTGCACCTGTAAAAATCGACTCGTTTTCTTAGCTTCCTCCTGCTTCTGCACAAAGCCATGAGCAGCACAAGTACTGGAAGAACCTGCTGCGTAGGCTTATGCTAACCATATGTTAACATTGCTTTAAAAAAATTAAACCCTACCTCCTGCAGAACTCGATTTGCTGTTGAGAAGAGCTTTCCTTTTGCTGGAGTGAAAGGGAATTTTTTCAGTCCCTGGCAATTATGTGAGGAGGAGATGGCTGTTGTTACTGGCTCAGAAATGGCCCAAAACTTTTGATTTTCCTGCTACCTGATGCCTCTGCAACTCCAAACTGTTTTTCAATGTAAATATTCAGCTGACTGTCCTCTGCTGCTGCTTCTAGGTTACTTTTGGTTTACCCGTTCTTCCCTTACCCCCAGGTTTTCTCAACATGGAGTGTTTGAAGTAATTTTTCATGACGGATTTTGTTTCTAAACTAACTTTGTTTTCTCTTTAGGTCATTTATGTATTTGTATTCGTTAATGTTTGTAGCATCTTCAAATGTAGTATCCTCTGTGAATTGAACTAACATGCTGTTTACCCTTTCTTCCAGATCCAGTTTCTGATCCTACTTCCACATTTGGGAGTATGCAAGGGACAAACACATCTCTTTGCGTAGCTTGACTGGATATCCCAAGACTAGGATGTTAGTATACTTAAACATTTTTTTTTCATTAAAATGTTGCCAGTATCTTAAATGCAAATAGATAATATATTTTTTGAAATGTAATTAGCTTTATTGGAATTATGCATTTTCAGAATCCTGCTGGTAGATACAGTTTCTCTACAGTTTGACTGGTGCTTGTTAATGACTTCAAAAATGGATGCACGAGTAAAAGGATTTCACAGTTGTTTTTAAATGAGCCAGGCTTATTTAGCAGTATTGTTTTAGTATTCATTCTTGAAAATCTTGGCTCCTGTCTGAGAAGCTTTACTGCAGATTAATTCGGGAACATATAAAATCTTTAGAATGTGTTCAAGATATAGATATTTATGAAATACCACTTCAGACTTCTTAATGCATGAGTGTAAGCCCAGGAGAGATTTTAAATACTTGGAATAGTGAAATATTCTATTATTCTATTGAAATAGCTGCATCAAATAACCTCAGTGCACAATATTTTAACAGTTGCTTTTTTCTCTTTTTTTTTTTTTCTTTTCTTTTTGCTCTGCATTGCAGATTAGATAATTCTGGTACTTGTCTGGAAGAAGATCTTATGCTAGACTTCTTTTGAAAATGCGATAATACAGCCGCCTTTTAAATGTGTTTTGTGATCGTGTAGCTATTGCAAAACAAGATATTGCATGGTTTCTGTTATGTAAGCAATTGCCTTGCAATAATTAGCAGTTCAAAGCTGATGAAGTCAGTGTTAAGAAGTCAGTGTTAAGATAATGTACTATTTTTGAAGTATGTATTCTTGACTTGATCACCTCTTGAAGCATCTCGTGTATTCAAATACTACTATATTTAATTGAATTATTTATTGAAACACTATTGTAAGCAACTGCTTGAATTACAGAAGTGAATTTGATGCTGATATCTCACATGTTCACAGAATCACCGAACGGTTAAGGTTGAAGGGACCCCTAGAGATCATCCAGTCCAACCCCCTGCTCCAGCAGGGGCACCTAGAGCACGTGGCACAGGGTGGCATCCAGGCGGGTTTTGAAGATCTCCAGAGAAGGAGACTGCACAACCTCTCTGGGCAGCCTGTTCCAGTGCTCTGTCACCCTCACAGGAAAGAAGTTCATCCTCATATGGAGATGGGAACTCCCTGTGTTTTAATTTATACTCCTTACCCGTTGTTCTGTTGCTGGCCACCATCGAGAGGAACATATGTTGAACCTAACCATGGGTTTTGCAAGATCCTCCTCCCTACTGTTCTTGTGTGCTTCCACTTTTGTCCCCTTTTAGATGAAAGGAGCCTTCTCGTCATGTGGTTTGAATTCATTTTGTTATTAAAGCTGTTATCAATCTTCCTAGCTAACATGTTAAAGTAATTACAGTTTCTCCGTTTAGGTTTCTCACTTCTGCTGTCCAACTCTATATGGGTAGTAATTTTAGGTAAGATTGCAGTTCTCCTTTGGTGTTCTCCTACACTGACAAACATTCTTAGAAGAATTTGTGCTAGGCAAGTGTAGTATTTTTGAAAACTGGTACTTTGTTTTGGTAGTGGCTTGATTCTTCTTGTCACCCCTCTTGTGTTGTGTGTGTTGTTGTTGTTGTTTGTTTGTTTTTTAAAAAACATCTTTGAGTCTTATTATTTGAATTTTACAAAATCTGTTTAAGCAAAATATGTCCTGGAAGTTTAATACTTCCTGAGGATGTGGTTGTGAATGTGTTTATGCTATCAAGGAACACTTTAAAACAAACAAAACCACTTTCTGAAGTGCTTTTTCACCTCTGAAGTTTATAAAATTGACACAAGTGGCGAGTAAGCTATTCGTCTAAAATTCTGTTTTCCTGGCTTCTTGCTTATACCATCTTCTGCAATCATTGCTCATTCTTCATGCCATACTTTATCTTAAGATATCTGCAGTTAGTGCTGCTTCAGACTTTCTTCCTTAGGATCAGATGATTAGCACATAGCTTGCAGAAGCACCATTTGTATAGCATTCCTTCGTTATTTATATTGTTGTACTGCCAGAAATTCCTAGCTGTAGACTAGGAAATCCATTTATGGAATACTTTCCTGAAAGGACAGATCAGAAGTTAGAAAAAGAGCTGCATTGGATGTAAGTGGACAGTGACCCTGACCTTAAAAGCTGAAGCTTTTCTAGCAAAGTAGCACTCAAAAATGTAAAGTGCTTCTGTTTCTTCATAGAGGGGTTGTTACAGGATATTTCAGTCTCCACTGAGTTCAGTCCCACAGTCTAGTGTGGAATGCTAAGTGGAAAAAGCTTTGTGTGCAGATTACCTGGATGTTCAATTCAGACTCCAAACAAAGGATCAGTGGTAAGCAGAGCCTTAGAAGCTGGAGTATTCTCCTAGTGTTTCTTTGTTTTCTTAGGCCAGTTACTTAACACCAAAGATGGTCTAAGTATTAGAGACCTTTCTGTTGAGGTACCTGTTGTAAAATTGGATCAAGAATGGCTGATGTGCAGAAACCCTTAAGTTGATTGGCTGTAAGGGACCGTTCTGAGGGTCTGCCACAATGCAGTAGTGTTGAGAAACTTAGGGTAGAAGAAAATATGGAATTGCTGTCTTAAGTTCTGCTCACGTACACTGTTTCCAAGGAAAAAACTCCAACTAGACTAAAGTTCTGAGAGGGGAGCATGGCCTTGCTTTAATACCTTGATTAAAGGTTGGACTTTGTAAAAGGCCAAGTGTGAGCTGTACTTAGGAATTCTAGAAGCTCTGGAGTGAGCACAGTTGAAAAGACTGAGCAGTGATGAAAAGTGGCACAAAACTTTGACTTGAGGAAGACTTAATGATGATAGTGGGAGCTACAATTACAGTTAAATACTGGGCATAATTTTGATATCCTGTGTGGTCACCAAGTATGATATATTCCCTATCCTATAAATTTTTCATCCACTAAATCCTGGGGGGTTTATTCTGAATGTGATCTTCAGCTCTGAGCCAGTACCTAGTTCAAGTATCTGCCAAAGGGAAAGGTGTTCCCAGGGAGCAAACAGCAAGGTTAAACAGAGCTCTTGGTTTCTGC